CTTCAAGCCTAGATATTCAAGAGTATGGATTTGTTATCCCTGCGTTTTCTTGACCTGACTTGATCCCTCTGGCCTCCTAAATTGGACGAAGTAGTTTCATGGGCCACTTGTTTTACTTGGTATATGATATGGAAATTTACACTTGCGCTGAAACAGCTAATATAGTTCATGGAGAGATATATTCATTGGTATGCAGATGTGTGGTTACTATGAAATAAATAAATAATAAATAAATTGTTCAATTGTCCTGATTTGACGCCTTGAGGCCCGTGCAAGTTTTATCGGGAGATTTGTACTCTTAAGTAAGATGACTCAGTTTAACGTTTAGAACACTCACACTCAGATTTTATTTGCATATACCACTCGAGATTAACCCTTGTGGAGTCTAACCTCTTCCTGTATACCAACCACAGGGAAAAGCGCGGAAACACCATGTCTATCCTAGAGTGCTTTCGTCGTCCCACATTTACAACATCAACGCGAGGAAGAGTTTTGTGGGTGAAGAAACTATGATAATTGTTTTATTACAGATCAGGGAAAGCTCGTCTCTGATCCGCTAGGGAGCTAACTCTCAGCACCTGTCAGTGGTGTCCCTTACGAACCTCCAGCTTTCACTGTCGAGTCTGCCGAGCCAAGATTGAATAACAAAGTCCCCACTTCGATGAGGATTTCCAATCCCTTTAGCCGTCTGTATCGTCTTCACCTCTCTACACATCCCCATGTCACCACTATCATGAAGCTAACCACGATCAGATGAGACGATAGGGTCGGAGCCCTACTCATCACCCACCCTTGGTCATGGAGGAAAAGCCATTCGATGAGTTTCTGGAGCGTACACAGCACACAATACAGAGATGGTTGATTGGATCAAGTCGGCCTCGAATGTTACAAAGAAGGGAGACATGGATGAATATGAGCACCTCATGTGGTCCCGGTGTCTAGGCCTCGCCTGGCTGGGGCTGCAAGTTTTTTGAGAAATTTTCTCGCGCAAGTAGTTTGCACTGCTGCCATTTTTTATCTTTGGGTGGAAGGTACCGAGGAAAAGGTGGCCGAATTCCACGGGTAAATCTGAGCTGAATGGCTATCTATCAGGGGCAACATATCAATGATCTTAGAAGTAGTGTAAGAGGCAAGGAGCACTGTACAAGGTGTGGCCTGGGCCAGAGAGGAGCCCAATGTGCTAGATATTCTATGGCTCAAGTAGTACAATAAACACGCATCTCACTCTCTCTGATCCCCTAGCTACTTCGCTGGCAGACTGATCACGTAGACAGTATGCAGCGCACGAAAGTACGCTCCCAACTGAATAACTATGCCATTTGTCCGGGTTGGATGGTGCAGTGGTACACCATCCGGGCCGGTCTCCTAAGTAGATACTGGGTAGCTTGAACACCTATCCTATTTGAGACAGGAGAAAGCTGGTTCGAATCCAGTAATACCCACACACCACTCTCTCTCACAGTGATATCGTAATTGTGAGATGATGAAAGCACACTCGGATAGCCACAGATTTTTCACGCTTTTCCCTGTGGTGGGTACGCACTGAAGAGGTTATATGCCGTAAGGGTTAACCTCGAGTGGTATCTGCAAATGAAATCTGAGTGTGAGTGTTCCTAATGTCAAATTTAGTCATCCAACTTAAGTATGTATCTTCCGATAAAACCTGCATGGGCCTCAAGGCGCCAAATTAGGAAAAATGAAAAATATATATATGCCATTTGTCCTATATCAACAACCCATCTCTCATGCTGCTGAAAGAAATAATTGTGATGCCGTTATGTAGAGACTGGATCTCCTTTATGCGCCATTATGCCTTACTGCCACCGTAAATACCTATACACCAGCTACTTGATCTACCATACTGTGTTGCTGATCATAGCACCACTTCGAGTTTATCAAGCTACATATCTTGAGAAAGCTGATGAGTAATTCGATTGTGACAACCTGTGTCGTGGCCCCTGCACATTAAAGTCCTCGATTTCGGAGCATACACATCTCACCGAAGTTAATGCTTTGCTTCTCATTTCAACCCACTTTCAGTAACAGGCAACGTGAGATAGGGTGCCATCAGAGTGAATAGCTGGCTGCGCGAGTGTATCCAAAATGGGGTTATTTTGTGTCCACAAAAAGACTTCTAATTGATTGTGGCATCACCCAAAAAAATTTTGTCTCGCTTATCGCTGACATAATCAACTCATAGGAGCTGGATAAAGTCCGGATCCTCTTTCCAAAGCAATAGCTGGTAACGCAACGCCACCCAAACCCACGAGTGCAAAATTTTCCTCTAAAACTAGGCTTGTAAATTCCCTCACACAGCTTTGCGCCATTTCTTGAGCCCTCAAGTGGACTTGGCTTGTCTCGACTGCGCACAAACTTGTTCACTAAATACCGAAAATTTTATCGACAGTACACAGGAAAAATTAGCAAGTAATATAGGTCATGCCAGTAGATTCAATGTGGCTTTGATTTATAAAAGGTACAATACATGTTCATTTTTCTTGCATTACCTTTGATTTAAATCCAATAGCTAGCGTAGGGGACTAGACCACATCTTTTAGAGAATATATCGCACTTCAAAATTTAAACGATGATATGTATTTAGGAATTAATGACCCATAACTCATTGAGGTTGTAAAGCTCATTTTTACAAGTATCTACGGAAGTGAATCTGAGTACAGGTTTTGTAGTCACGTGTGTACCAACGACATGGCCTTCTTGACAGCCCCAATATTTTTGTGTTTGATTTCATTTAACCCGATTCGGCGCCCTATGGGCCCATGCAGGAATCTACGAACTTCAATATTTACATATGAGGAAACCTTGCAGTAAAACCCCTTAGCTGTCTGGTTGGACTCCACACCGTTATAGTCTTACCTCTAGGAAGTGCACTCGTTGTTGCCCGTGTGGATTCCGTCCGTATCCAGTGTTTCCACTTTCCTCTCTTCGCCTGTTTAACGCCTCGATTTCTCCGGTCATCCGAAACTACTCTAGCCATCCTTTCTTTTGAATCCACAGTGCAATCCTAGTCATATCTTTGACGTTATTTACCGTAGCTTCGAAAGATCGGGTTGTCGATTTTCGTAGCAACTCATCTCCTCCCCTTGCCCATCTTGGACAAGACATCTGTTAAGCAAAGTTATAGTAATATGAATCTCTCTCAGAGTTGATTGAATTGATTATCCTCTACCATGAGAAATCTAATTAGGTACTATATACATCTTGAGTATCCTACTAATTCCAAATGTAGACTGAATATTAGATAGCCCATGCGAACTGCTCAAATCTCCGTTCCATACATGGTTCTGAAATTGACTGTTACATTATCATGGGCAATAGAGAAAGTGAAACAACCAGGGAGTTGTGCGAATGAAATTGGCCATCCGTCTAATCGCTAGTTGTAACATTTGCATGACTAAGTTATTGCCCTTGATGCATCAGCCCAGTTTACTTGCTTGTAAACTACTCAACTTAGACATCATGATACAATATTTAAATTTAGGGTAATCTGTTTAACAACATTACCAAGTGCTTTATATTTTGGGACCGATATCCACATTGGCAGCATGGTTTTCTTACTCCTGGCACATTCCTTCTGCATAAGTAAGCATTGAGCCCAATGTGCTCGCTTCTTACTTGTGTGGCAATGCTGCTCTGGGCCCTGCTAAGGTTTTGGTGGATTTGGATAGGTGACTCTCTATAGTTCACAAGTCTACCTGTTTTCTTGTCGTTATATAAGTTTGCAGCTTTCCATTGACTGCCCCAATTATTATCACTTCTAACAATATGTACAAATTACTGGACCATCTTAGACTTCACATAGTTGGTGAATCACGCCAGTTCTGACCGTGAGAGAAGTCAATTCTGATCCGCTGAAGCACAACTGTCTTTAGCCTCCATCGCCAGACGGCTGAGCCCTTGACACCTTCCTTTCTTTGAGTTACTCCCTTCTGTTCAGACCCAGCCTTGCCTCATCTTATCCGTAATTTTTTCCTTCATTGGGTGGCTCCTTCAATTCACACCTCTTTTCTTCCTTAATTCAGCATCCCTTTCATAATACGTCAATCTCTCCATCTTGTAGACTTTGAGAGCTCTTAATTTAGTCTTGCACCGTCACTGCTGTTCACCTAGCTGCGGAGGCCGAATATGCTAGTAAGAGCTGTAGATGGAGGCGATGATTCCCTGACCTCTATCAAACCCTCTGTTTAGTTTTCTGACAATATTTTATACATATTTTCCGGTTGAAATTCATTGGAGGGCGGCACTTTGACTGTAGATGCACAGCATACAGCTATTGCGAAAGATTAAGATTCACCTTAGATCTTCAATGAAAACCATGTTTATTTAATTTGTTGTACTTCTCAGGTAAGTCGTAATACTTGTATGGCTGGTGGATTTTTTCCATGAGAATAGACGGTAAAGACTATCGTATATTGTGATGTGACACCTAGACCGGTTTGGATATATTTTTAGGTCGTGTGTGGAGTAGAATTACTTAACTCGTCATCTTGTGCAGTCTTAGAACCTTCGTAGATCAGTGATTCGACCAATACAGATCAACGTAACTCCACATGGCCACCATTTCGTCGAAATTTATCAGGGTAATCTTTGACTATGATTGGATTTAGACTCTGAAGGAAAATTTCACTCCCAAAGTCACAAGAAGACTCAACTGATAGGTGTTTTACCTCCATCTGTAATCACCTGTTCATGATACACAACATCTATAACATGCACAAGTGAATTGAATTATCCTTAATTAACTTTGTGATCATCTCGTTGCGAGCCAAAGATTCCGTTTGTATTCTGCACGATTTCAAATTAGAAAATTTTGTTCCACATTATGATTATGAAAACTTGTTACGTGGCTCTCATCACGTTAGCAAAGGAGTCTCTACTTCAATCGCTCACGTGACTTGGGCGAATCACAGTGTACAAATCCTATGCGACATTCTGTTGTCACTGCCGTCCACTAAGACCGGTTAAATCTTAAAGTCCCCTCTATGTATCTACAACGATCAGCTCTCCTGGCTGCTCGCCGCATAGCCGTCACTCGCCCAATTACACGGGGTCTTTCGATCTCCCTCGCTCGCCGTAAGTTGATTATCCGAGCATTATTATTGTTAACATAGTCACAGGAGAAGCGCCTACTCCGTTAAATGATGGCAATACTAACTCAAATAGCCAAAAAATGAAAAAATTCCAAGGTATGCTTTCAAACCGATTCTTCGCCTCATAGTCAAACTACATAAAGCCAGCAAACTGACGTGGAGATAGAGATAAGCAGCCCCGATGATCTTCTAGCTCCAGGAGCAGCGCCGGGAACCATTCCCACAGACCTCGAACAAGCTGTCGGTTTAGAGCGTCTAGAAATATTGGGAAAGATGCAAGGCGTCGATATATTTGACATGAAACCTCTAGATTCATCACGTCTTGGTAATTAAAGATCTAGCTACAGTTTACATATTGCAGGATCACTCTGTTAATTCTAAAAATCTTAGGTACGCTCGAAAACCCTATAATGGTCAAGTCTGCTGGGGAGGAAAATTATGCTGGATGCACCGGATTTCCAGCCGATTCACACAATGTCATTTGGCTCACGGTACGTTCTGGTCCCAAATTATGTTGAGTTATCTAGAGAACGCAACTAACTTTAAAATAGGTATCTCGAACTCGTCCAATAGAGAGGTGTCCTGAATGCGGAAATGTCTTAAAGATGGAATATATCGGACCCCAAGAAGACGACTCTCATGATTCACACCATGATCACCATTCGTACGAAGAGCCAAAAACATTTGCAGATTTTATTCATCCCGAGTATCGATATCGGTAGATTGAAGATATGGGATCGAGCTATATTAGACAGCTGATGCAAAAATTAAAATACCTTATATTGTATTTAATATATTGTTTATGTGGGAAAGTTACGAAAATTATTTCTCACCAGGTACTGTACCGGGGAGGCTTTAGAAGCTATGTACAAATTAGTATGGAATTTGATATTCAAAAGTTTTCCTATTCTCTATTCCAGGCTTAACTACTAATTATTAACTACTAATAAATATACTTCTGCTGACTATGGATACAAGCTTTTTGAATTTTACGCCTTCCTCGTAAGACCAATGGTGCTGAACAAAAAAAGAGTGTGTAAGAATTAATATATGTTTTTCCCGATGCTGAATCCGCACAGGAGTGAGACTGTGAAGTGTAAATCTAGATCAAAAAACTCATGACACATCCGTGCCAAATGGCGCTGGGTAGCCGAATTCGAACGGACATCTCGCATGCCGGGCTATTGATGCGCTGACATTGTAGTATCGTAGATTTTATAAGATTGACTTTTTTGTCAGATTATGAACTTGAAGAGGCATTGTCACATACTTTTTTTGTGCTTGCCGCAAGCTTATCTTCATCACCAGGTATACATGTCTCATAGGAGTACGCGCCGATCTCCATATCAGAAGCGTCCTCACTTGGACTAGCCTCGTTACCAGAGCTGTCAGGACGCTGTACAACAGCTTCCTTGAGAGCCTGAGCCTTTGCGATCGCGGCAGAAGCTTGTTCCATTGCACGCTCGGCACGAATTTGCTTCTTCCACATGTTGTAGTATCGACCTTTACTTTGCAGTAGATCATTATGATTTCCAGCTTCAACAACCTTACCGGCATGGAGTACCAATATTTGATCAGCTGCTGTAATTGTAGAAAGCCGATGACTATACAGCTTGTCATTAACAGAAACCGTAGGGTGAGGATTATACTCACGCTATGACAAGAACTGTTCGACCTTCTGATAATTTAGTCAGCGAATTTTGTATATTCTGTTCAGTTTCAGAGTCAAGTGCGGCAGTTGCCTCATCCAACAGAATAATTCTCGGATTCTTGATTATAGCACGTGCAATTGCAACGCGCTGTTTTTCACCACCACTGAGGCGTAAACCTCTTTCACCGACTTTAGTGTCGTATCCATCGGGAAAAGCTAGTATCTTATCGTGTATTGAGGCAGCTCGACAAGCGGCAAATACATCCGCATCAGTAGCATCTGGATTGGCATATTTGAGATTATACATTAGGGTTTCGTTAAAAAGAATGGTATCTTGCGGAACTACTGCGATATGTCTGCGTAGCGAGTCAATGGTTATATCTCTAACATCATGCCCATCTACCTGGATACTGCCGACTTGAGAGTTGTAGAAGCGAAACAGAAGCCTAAAGACGGTGGATTTACCTCCTCCAGACTCTCCAACAAGGGCTGTTGTGGTACCTGGGCGACAGGTGAAGGAGAGGCCTTCTAAGGCCGGTTTACGCTCATCGTATGAAAATTTTACGTTATCAAATCGAATCTCGCCATCGCAAACAGGTGTTTCAATGGCCCCGGGCTCATCAATTACCGTTGGAAGCTCTTTGAAAAGTTCAAGGAGGCGTTCACCACTGATCATCGCGCTTTGAACGCTTCGATAAAAAGATCCAAAGAAGTTTAGTGGTTGCTGGAGTTGAGCCATGTAGGTCAGTAATGTAACAAAGTCACCTACCTTTCGTGCATGCGTGGTAACCTGATAAGCGGATATAAATGATGTCATAAGTAGGCCAGTCATAAATACCATATTTTGCGATATGTTAAGCACGTTAAGGGATAGATTAACTTTGTACTCCATCCCTTGAAATGCTCGCACAGCATCGCGGTAGCGTTTAAATTCGTACTTTTCGGCATTGAAATACTTTACAGTTTCATAAGAAATAAGAGAGTCATTCTTTACAGCGTCTTCTTCCCTACTCAGATTCGTCATTTGTCGACGCTGGTCAGAGCGCCAGCGGGCCATCCGCACGGTGAGATATAAGTATGAGAAGGTGATTACTGCTACAATCAGGGCATAATACGCGTCAAATGCGATTCCAAAGTAGACAATTGCAACGCCCAAATCGAAGATCATCGGTGCGACCTGAAATGTGACCTGCTCAAGAAAGTTATTGATGGCATTTCCCTTGCTGAGCGCAGACAGAACTTCGCCAGTGCGCTTGGATAGGTGAAAATCTAGACTCAGGCCATGTACATGTTCAAAAGAAGCAGTTGTCAGTGCCTGATAAGAGTATTGAGATATAGGTATCCATAGCACGGACCGAGCTGAGCCAAGTATACCGGATGACCCTTGAAGAAGCTTGTAGATAATAAGAAGACTGATTGATAGCCAAGGCATACCGCTGGTTGGATGTTCCGGGTCTTTGTTTGCGAGTTGATCGGTCACCTTTCCAATCTGCAAGGGTACTGCAATATTTACAGCCCTTTGGCAGATAATTAGTAGGAAGCATACGACTACAATCAGCTTTAATCGTAAAGACTTGCTTGGCCATAAGTATGGAAAAAAAACAGAATATCCCCGTAGATATTCCCACCAAGTGCGATCAGGAACCTTTGTTGGTTTGTAAAAAGCAGGTGGATCCTGATCACGGTTGCTGGCAATTCCAACATCGTTATTTCCAACCTGAGAGGCGTAATCACTTCCGTTGTCAGTGAGACCACCTATGGAAGGTATATTTCCGTTGGCACATCCGTTGACAAGTAATGGAACAGCCTCATCTGACTCACTTCCAGCAAAATTTTTAAATTTCGCGATCCTCTCAAGCGAGAAAAAGGTGTAGAATATGACCAGAAATATTAGAATTATGACCCGAATCCCATCGCAGACTAACTCAATAATCTCCCACTCGTTAAGACCGCTGTAATTTTCCTTGATACCCCTTTCGAGGGAGTTGATGTCTTTATGTTGAGGAATGTAGAGAGCACACGTTATGACGAGAAGCGTTACTTCTACTATTGTTGCTGCGATCCAAGTAATCTGGTGCGCAATATTCGGAGACGGTGATGTATCAAGAAGAGAAATGAGAACTATACAGTAGAAAAATGCTGAGGCACAGACATATAACTGTAATTGATGTAGTGAGCCGTCAAATTTTCAAATTGGAATGCTTTCACTTACGCCAGTCGCCTCTCCACACCACCAGCCGTCTTGCTCAGAGAGTGCATGCGAGACAATGTTGATGCCGTTGGCAAGAAAAGTAGCAATGAGTCCGATAGATAAAAACCGAAATATGGCTTTCCTTGTAGGTGAAAAATCTAAGAGCCTCTGTCTCTTATCACGTTCTTCTTTTGTCCTCTTCGCCGAAGGGGGCAAGGGTTTTCCGCCAGGCCCTAGCTGGACAGGTCCATTGGAATCGGATGCTGGTTCGGCTGATAGAATACCATTTGAGATGAAAGCTGTGAGAAATATTACAAATAGAATCCAGGCCGAGTGAAAATGCAAGATGTTTTTTACAGAGGTTATAAGATCAATTGAGTCTGTGGAATTGAAGGTATGCTCTGGTTCGACAGCACTGCCAGCCATTGTGCCTAGAATCCCCTTTCCTAGTTAGAATATCTTTGGCTATAAATTAAATAGACAGTTCATAGAACATTGGATATGGGTCGAGGCTGGCGTTAGTGTAGGACTCAGATCTTGGAGCCGTGAGGCCTGGATTTAAGACGAACTGGCAGGCGATAGACTGGGGTTAGACTCTTGTCTTTCTTGGTATATGAGTCGGCACATTAGAAGAATGTGTCAAGATTATTCACTTTGGAAGGAATCAGAACTCACGGATCAGTGGTTTATTTACGGAAAAGAATTGGCGGTTCAACTAAAGGCTTGGTTCGAAATTAAGTGGTACTTTGCGAGAGCAGAGTAGCGTGAATTGTTGAAAGTCAAGGGCAGAGGTACGTGGTTCGGTCAACGAAAACGCTATTATTCCCATGATAGACTGCAAAGAAGTTTATAAAATAATTTTGTTTACGAGACATCAGCCTTTTGAGTACATTCAGATAATGCATCAACCCTCAAGCCTTAGATAAGATTATACTGAGGGACCCTAGGAGAATTTTCTCGTGAAGATTCGAAATTATGGGATTAATATGGGTGGTTGGTTTTGGCCGCCCTTTACTTCACCGCCTTGCCAGGGCAGATGCGGTCATGGACCAGGTAGCTCAAGATTTCGATCACCATCTGATCACAAAGACGAACAGAGAGAAGTTATTTCTATGCCGCCTTGCCTCTTCGCCTCCCGATTATGTTTCAGATAATCCTCTCGACTAGGCTGCATCGCTCCTAAGAGTGAAGTGCTCGCTACCCTGTCTAAACACCACTGATCATTGCAAATTCACGACTCGAGGAAAATGTGCACGACCCCTCGTTAATGCGGCTATCCTGGAAGCTGCTGCAGATATCATCATCATCAGGCCGCAGATATGCCTGGAGTCAATCACAGAGCGATGGGGCAACTATCCCAAAGCTTTGTGGGGGGTCGACCAGGCGTCTCACGCCCCTAGCCGGCCGCCGTGCCACCTCCATCGCCACCGAGCTACCAATCTTTCACAACTGATGCTACCCTAGTAAGCACAGGTTGGACCTTACAATCTGAATGAATCTAGCCGCAATCAGTTGGATTTCGGCGCGTTGAGTCGATTCAAGCCAGGTATTTCTCTCTCCGATGCTGAATCGGCAGGTACAATATGTCGAGCTGGCATGACTGGTTATGTCCTAGCCCGTCAGACGGCTTCACTTATGCCCGAGCTGTGCATGCTGCTAAATTTTGCGTGGCTGCAATCATGCATGGTTTCTCCGAATGAACAACGGGCGGGTGCCACAACAGCAATACAAGCGGGGGTACTGAAAATAATCAGCTGCAGCCCGCTTTTTTGTGAGTGTCGGGTGCCTCTGCGGGTAGCCCTTCCGGATCATCCTCCGTACTACCGGTATACAGCAGCTGTCTGCGGCTGCAGGGTTAGCAAGCTCTATTCCCGATTTACTTTTGTTCAAGCGATTATACCTTATTCGTGCCAGAATAATTATACATTGTCATTTATTAAGCGAACCACTGTTACGGGCCAGTGATAATCTGTGCGGGTTTTCCCAGCAAACAACTCAACAAAGCTATCTCCCATTCGTAAACAACGAAGGTAAGATGGATAACCGTCAGCTTGTTACCAGTGAAGGGTCTAACGGGATCCGATTGTAGCAATACTTACACGCTTAATTAGGCTTATGAACTGGCGTTCTTTTGATCAAAATGTTATTTTCAGTCAGATATGCACTGTTGGCTTTTAAGTAGGCGCAGAACATTTGGTTATTGGAAATTTTGTCAGGTCTTCATTTATGATCCGTGTATGTTGAAGTTGAGTGCATCATTCGCACCCTATGCTTCTTAACATGTCAGCATAAAACAGGGTTCCGAACGCCATGAATATAGTAATCGATTCAGACATACAATGAATATCAAGGCTTATCTTAAGCCAATCCACAAAGAAGTGGCAAGGAGACCGGTTTACTAGGTATCTAGCTCGGATCAAATGATCGTGTGACGGTCCCTTTGTTTTTATTGAAGCCAACATAGCGTGTTAAATAAGGCTCATGCTATGAGAAAAAACCAACAATTATGATCTTCTATTGACGATCTTTTCCTATCTTCAATAATCTTAGCCGTTGGCTAGGAATGAACTTAATTGGCCGGCAGGTAAATTTGCTGATATGGGCTAGAACAGCCGCCCTTCGGGCACATCGTAGCCTCGATATCTTCCAACACCGCAGCCGTCTTTGTTGAAGACTGGTAAAATTGGGTACAACTGTGTTTCGATGCAAATTCCTTTCATGCTGATAAGACGATCGTTATTTGTATTGTAATTGACCGTCAGCCTCATCTCATTTCGAACGAATCGTCAGGGGAATAAACCAGAAGCTACCGGTTGCCTTTCCCGTGGTTTGGTTACCATTCTAAATGTCTCGACGGAAGCAAATATAGACTTAGCTTCAGCAAGGCCCCATCAACCTCACCCACAAGCCTCCATACCATGCCCCGAATCAAAAAAAGTGATACACATTTTACTGGGAAGATAATCGGGGCTTAATCTACATAATCCGTGCAGACTGTAACGCATACAATCCACGCATTCTACGAAATTCCTGCTTGCCATAATCACGACGAGCTTGGATAATCAATGAAATTCTGCCTACCGAAAACAAGATTAGATGATAAGCTATAAGATCCTGACCACGTGCTACCAAAAATATACATATCAATACTTAGTCAACCATATGTTTTTAGACTGTTAAATGCCTCTCTCACAAGTCTGTATAATATTTATTGAAGAGGTTGAAGTGGCTTATGGTCTCCATACAATCATATACAAATGGTGAAGACAAGCGCCGTGGCCCTAAACCTTTCACATCACTAAGGCTATCTGCTTTGTTATGTTTCAGGGAACCGTAGATAGACCAGTCGGTATCAGAAAGGTTTTCCATCATGCGCACGTCCAGGGCCCGACAATCCTTTACCGCTAGGCTTTGTAAGAGGGACCGGGTCAGCTGTCGGCAAGTTTTGACGGCCCCGGCTCTCGCAAATTGATTTGCTCCTCCCCTCTCCCCCTCCCGGCTCGAAAGGCCTTATACTAATATCACTCGATCCTTTGCCGACATCAGGCAATAGATCAAAACGAAGCAAGAAAGACGCCCACAGCGGCGGGACAACCCTTCCGGAAAAAGCATCCCTAGTTTCTTTTAGTAAACATAAATTTACTGTGCATATGCTGATACTCAAGGTAGTACACATGAAAATAGACAACATTGACTGAGAGCAAGCAGCTGAAATTGGACAACATCACTAAGCGGGTGTTGAAGGACAGTTAAGGAAAGTTGGGGTGAAAAAGTATGAATGAAAATGGAGTGTAAGTACGGGTTGCCAAGCATGCCTAGAACCCATGAAATTAAATCAAGGAATGCAGCATCTATTAGTATTTAAATTAGACAGGCAAAAGTTGAGATAAGCGAAGCGAAAGATTTATATTATAAATATTAATAGAGGAGCTCGAAGAAGTTAAGCCAAGGACTGACGGTCACCTGTAAAACTATATCGCACATCTGCCCAGACGCATGTTTCATTAAAATAAAACAGTGCGAAAAAAATTTGCGCTGCAAGTTTCTTTAGCCCTGTTAATTTTCATGCTGGCCTGAATTATAGTTTTGTAGTACCCAAATCCAACTTAGTACTCAGTCATCTGAGAAGGGTAATTACCATCTAATGTATTGTGGTCCGCATCGCCTCTTTCCGGTTCAACAAGCTATTCGTCGACCTTTCGACGCCGGACGATAACCCAACTTGAATAGGGGTTAAACCATTGGTGGTAACTTGGGGGTTTAGAATTTTTGATTCGTCCCTAGTTGTCAGCAGATCTGGTACTTGATCATCCTCTAGTTCTTTTTCCTCGTTGTCGCTCCGATCATCTTCAGCCACGTTTTCAAAAACAAATCGATAGGCAATGCGGAAAATATAATAAAGCCAGAAGAGATTTAGACTTTGAAGGCTGGTTAATAATGCGGTAGATATGTAATGAGAAAGGGGGCCCTTGAACTGCTCATTTTCCCAGTTTATAACATAGGGCCCTACTGTCTTGAATTCGTTGAACTCTGACCAAAGGATACGTAGGTTAAGGTAATGGCGTAAATATATCCAGGTTAGAATAAATAGGCCGAAGTATGGACCCACAAGTGGGTGGTCGAGGTAGTTGAGGGTCTTTGATGTCTACAGGAACTTCAATCAGTCTAAATGTCCTGAATTTGATAGTTTGTAATACCTACTGCAAGGAAAAAGTCGCTAATGTCATGCGTGATAAAAACACCAAGTCCCATGTACGCAAAGTGAAAGCGATAGCTGAGTCCAATCAAGGCTAGAGACACAATATGATGTCCAACTAATTCTTTGAAATCTTTCCGCGGCTTCTCCATCCCAAGGACAAGCACTATAGCTTGCTGGGCCCAGTAAGCTGCCTGAAAGAGGTAGTAAAATTTGAAATTGGCTTCGTGGGTCTTGTGTGGGAATCCTTCATACATTCCTCGAGTGTTAAAGTACCATACTGGCGTTCCACTCATAACATAAAGTCCCCAAGGGCCAACAATCCCAAAGTATATGGCTGTATACATTTGTTCCATGAATCTAGATTGCTTAGCTCTGCTCTTCAGCCCACATCGCCTGGCCAGAGGTCGTAGGAAGTTTTGCATGATGAACTCCCGTGTAAAGGACAGAACTATGACATAGAATGAAACGAATGCGTAATCTCTACATCCCTTTCCATACTGAGGTGATTCGCTCGGTTTGGCTGGCAGCTTGTACGAGAGAAATAGAAAGCGAGAAATTGGATTAGATTCAGTTGGATTAATGGCGTAGAGAGATAGAAAAATTCCAACAATAATCAGAGGAGTGACCCAGGTGTGCTTAAGTGCGTATCTTCTCCATAGTTGGAATAACGATTTAGCTTTTCGTCGCTTGGAAAACGGCTTTTTAAGATCGATTTCATGTTGCGCCTGTTCCAAGTTATTATGCTAATCAAGTAGGATGCAGTTAGAATTAGGCGCTGCGAACCTTGATTGCGCCCGGTGATGGAAGTCTGACGTCCAAAGTCGCCAGAGCTGGCGCACTTGTATCCCCTGCTCTAAATTCACCAAGTCCACTAGATCTTCGTTTATAACGTGGTTTACTAGAATGACTCCGAATTCCATATGATACGGAGCTCTCTGGGTGGTTGTAGAGTGGAGGAAAGGCTTCTGTAGCCGTCATATTGAAATGGGGAGCATGTAAATCTCTGATAATATTGTTGCATAAAAAGTCACGCTCAGTAAGGCAAGTGCAGCATCAATGACACTTTCATAACATGAGACTAAGCGACATGAAATTATTTTGAGAGGTATCACATATATCTCTTGTCAATTAGGTTCGAGCCCTCACAGTGAAAATGGGGAATCATCTGATAAATAATCGTAGAAGGGATTGAAGTGTGTGATTTACGTGAGATGAGCGGGAGGGTCCGAGTATGTATTTCGCTTCAGGTGTAATGGTTGCAGATTCTTGGCTAAACATTTTACTTGGTAATTGTTGTATGAAACACGGCCTTGGGCACCCTTTACTACATAGCCAATTTCAATATCCAAATATCTACGGAACCGACCAGATCGTCGCATGACATCAACGCTCGACCAGGACACAGATCAATTTTCAAATTGAAAAGATTACTTTCGATACATTTGGAGCATAATTGATTACTGGGCCAGCAAGCAATTTTGTTATTTGATTGATTTATGTAATCTGTAAATTTTGACACGTAAAGTTAATTTCTCTAGATTTGTTTTACACATGTTATGTCCTGCTGAGTTTGCCGTAGTAAATTATAATTTGATCAGAGGGTATTCCTGATGGCATTATTGGATTCTAACTCATAATGAATAACCCACCCCCTTGCTCGGAGTGCACTGGGGACATAAGTTAAAAGAAAATTAAGAGAATTATTTTTGCTCATGATCCAATCAAAACCCGACTCTCTAGAATGGCCAGGGATCGGGGGGTTTCGAGCACTCGCGGATTTTACATAGCACTAGCCAATTTAACCAGGCGACGTCCGAAGATACAAGAGACTACCTATGTCAACAGTTTCCCGTTCTAGTCCGCGACCACAAAGGTAATAAAGGTTATATACACAGCTATTATGTTCACTACACATTGAATCATACATACTTTCGCACTACTAAAGCTCATATCCGAACCATAGAGAGAGGGAGAAATGTCTGTTTATTGTACTACTTGAGTCATAGACTCTCCAGCACATCGGGCTCCTCTCTGACCCAGGCCACTCCTTGTACAGTGCTCCTATCCTTTTTTGTAACTTGTAAGATCATTGATATATTGCCCCTGATAGATAGCCATTCAGCTCAGATTTACCCGTGGAATTCGGCCACCTTTTCCTCGGTACCTTCCACCCAAAGATAAAAAATGGCAGCAGTGCAAACTACTTGCGCGAGAAAATTTCTCAAAAAACTTGCAGCCCCAGCCAGGCGAGGCCTAGACACCGGGACCACATGAGGTGCTCATATTCATCCATGTCTCCCTTCTTTGTAACATTCGAGGCCGACTTGATCCAATCAACCATCTCTGTATTGTGTGCTGTGTACGCTCCAGAAACTCATCGAATGGCTTTTCCTCCATGACCAAGGGTGGGTGATGAGTAGGGCTCCGACCCTATCGTCTCATCTGATCGTGGTTAGCTTCATGATAGTGGTGACATGGGGATGTGTAAAGAGGTGAAGACGATACAGACGGCTAAAGGGATTGGAAATCCTCATCAAAGTGAGGACTTTGTTATTCATTCTTGGCTCGGCAGACTCGACAGTGAAAGATTGAGGTTTGTAAGGGACACCACTGATAGGTGTTGAGAATAGTCCCCCGATGATGAAAGGTGTTGTGGTCCGCCTCCTAGTGGTGTTATCTGGTATAGTCTGAGTAGCCTGGGTACCCACTCCACTTAGGAAGGAGAAGCCTTAGACTACATTTCGCGCAAAGAAAAAAAATGGATGACGGAGGCATGTCTGGATAACTCAGGGTTTTTGAGACATTCCCCTGGGTGGGTATTCACGGATGAGGGTTGACTTGGGGTGAAGAAAAAGCCACCATAACTTCGCAGCGGTACTTGCAAATGAAATCCGAGGCACAAGTACTCTCCTTGTAAATTGAATCATCTATTATTAACTTTCTTTGATATTGTGTCATAGCTATATAGCTGCAAACGCAACTAAAATCTGATGCAAAAAAAATCACAACACTACAATTTTTTTTTCATATCTTTCTAGGTTTTTCCTGCAGATTAAAATGAAGAATCTGAAGATCGATTATAAGCTATGAAGAGAGTGGTTTGAGAACAAAATAAAATATTAGATAAAAAGATTTCCTTGATTTTTATTCCTCATTTTAGTATTCTCCGTAGTTCGAAGGGGGCTAACTCTCAACACCTATCAGTGGTGTCCCTTACAAACCTCAATCTTTCACTGTCGAGTCTGCCGAGCCAAGAATGAATAACAAAGTCCTCACTTTGATGAGGATTTCCAATCCCTTTAGCCGTCTGTATCGTCTTCACCTCTTTACACATCCCCATGTCACCACTATCATGAAGCTAACCACGATCAGATGAGACGATAGGGTCGGAGCCCTACTCATCACCCACCCTTGGTCATGGAGGAAAAGCCATTCGATGAGTTTCTGGAGCGTACACAGCACACAATACAGAGATGGTTGATTGGATCAAGTCGGCCTCGAATGTTACAAAGAAGGGAGACATGGATGAATATGAGCACCTCATGTGGTCCCGGTGTCTAGGCCTCGCCTGGCTGGGGCTGCAAGTTTTTTGAGAAATTTTCTCGCGCAAGTAGTTTGCACTGCTGCCATTTTTTATCTTTGGGTGGAAGGTACCGAGGAAAAGGTGGCCGAATTCCACGGGTAAATCTGAGCTGAATGGCTATCTATCAGGGGCAACATATCAATGATCTTACAAGTTACAAAAAAGGATAGGAGCACTGTACAAGGAGTGGCCTGGGTCAGAGAGAAGCCCGATGTGCTGGATAGTCATAGACTGAAGTAGTACAATAAAATCAAACACAAACACAAATAATTTATTGAAATTCGAATTTTCGAATTTTCGAATATCCCTAATTTCCCCCTCTCCCTCCCTCTCTCGATATCGGGATATTGTTCGCCCTTCATTCAAAATTTGTGAGTGACTGGTAAGCTACCAATATGCCCCCAGTTTGCAGTAAGCCATCGCGGGCAAAAGACATTGAAGATAACCGCAAGCACCTCAAACACGTTGCTCGACAGAAAGCAAGCGTCGAGTTGGGTCCACTGACTGCCATTCAAGAGATGAACTTCGACCAATTAATCGACAAAAGTACCATAGATTGCGATATGATAGATGTTGGCAACTTTGACATTGACAAGATTCTTAAGAATCTGAAAAGACTACCTAACTCAATTCACTCCGAGCCAGATGCGACCGGAGCTGAAAATGCAGCGACGAGTCGCAACAATTTAGGGACAGCGACTACCGGACAGCATATACTTCCTCTCATTGAAGTCGCTGTGCCAGCTATGAGGCGGGCTGCGATTGCAGATGCTAACAAGGCAAAGGGTGCAGCATCTACCCCGAACCCCCTGGAACATACACCAGGAACCACAGAAGAGAATCCTTCTCCTTGCGGTGGAAATGAAGGCAGGCAGATGGAGGAATGCCCCCCCAAACTCAGAGCCTTAATTGAGGCTGAGGAACACCGGGCCGCAAAAACTGCGGAAAATGTAAAAATTTGCACCGCTGCAATAAACAGTGTCGAAAATGCTCTCTCCCCCCTATCCAAAGTGTCGAGTGTTCAATTTATAGACTCTATGAAAGTCTACATTAGAGCTGAAATAGCTCAATTCATGATTGCAGGACCAGGTACAGTCCTCCCATCACTTCCCCCACGCCCCAAAAGCCAGGCTACTAGTTGCAAGACCGCAGAATATGCTGCTGGTAAGCAAAGTGAGCCACAACGCAAAGCGGCTCAAGCCGAAGTGCACCAGGCCAAAACCACTTGGGCCTCGATCACCCATAATGGTCTACAGACGCTCCCAGCACCTACAAAAGTCGCGCAGACAATGCCCAAGGCGGCAAACTCGACTCGAATGGCCCAAAATTCAACCGGGCCAACAAAACCGGCCGTGCAAGACGAACGTTTGATTCTCTGCCTCGAAAAAGAACATCCCTGGCAAACACTCTCACCTTTCGGTGTTAGAGAAGCAATTATGCAAATGCTCGAAATTCCTCAAGCCAATATTGAGCACGTATACCGTGTTCCAACTGGCTTTGAATTTAGAGCCGAAAACCAAGAGGCACGCGCGCTGATGCTTAGCCTAGCTGGATCCTTCGCCCAGCAGGATGCAATATTGGAGAAAGCCTCGGACTTGGCTTCCCTTAGAATAGCGACAGTCCCAGTCGCAATTAACACAATAATGGGCAAAGTTCTCATCACAGAAAAGATGGTGGCCAATAAGATAGTCAGGGTCACTAAAGCTGTCCCAGTAAAAGTTCGCCCATATGGGAAAAGCCGACCGGGCGCACCATACCAGTCATGGGTAGCCCTTTTCGAAAAAGCATCAATCCCTCGGCCAGGTTTTCGACTTTTCGACGACTCTGGGATTGCGGTCTGCCACCAGCCTCGTCAAAGCATCAGCCAGTGCAAACGATGCCTACAGTTTCATGGCACCAGGGGCTGCTCGCGTGCCCCAGCCTGCTGGAATTGTACTTCAACTATGCATTCCATTGCGGAGTGCAAGGCACACACCAAGTGCCGCAACTGCAGGGTTCCAAATAGATTAGATAGTCGGGACTGTCTAGCTTGTCCAACAAAGTCTGGGACGGCCTCCAGGGAAAACCTTCAGACCATAAGGCAGGCTAGCCAACGCGAATTCGCAGCAGTCACTTGGGCCAAAGCAGCTGTCAGACGCGCAGAGGCAGCGATGACAGCAGCCGCAGTAGCGTCAAATACTAACCATCCAGGTTTCAAATCGACCAACTGTTTTGAAGTTCTCATGTCCGACGCTACAGCGACTGTAGCCGAGGTCGATGAGGCATCAAATCAGCAAATATCTTTGTGAAGGGCACCCCACGGGTCTCTTTGAGCCTCTCTCCTACTCTAAGCTTTATGTCAATAAACGTAGGTAGAGGGGGCTCAACGCAAAATATTGCGCTTGCCCGAGCATTT